AAAAAGTTGGTCCCACTGTGAGTTGAGCCTCACTTATTTCCAAGATTGGTGTTAGCAGAAAACAAACAGTGACATGATGAGATACAATGAACGTGACAAAAACCATGCAGCAATAGCTCTTTTTGAATGGCATTGGTGCTAGGTCATAGGTACCCTCCTTGCTAATGACAGATGCTGACTGGCAAACTGTTGCCTTGCATTAATCTCTGTTAATTATTGGCATTTAGAGAAGCATGTCTGCAACATTCAGATCTGCTAAAGCCTGAAGTTATGAATTATCTTTTCTTTAATATCTAGGCATTTTAAGAGCAGTGGTTTAAAAATAGATTTGTAGTCTAGACTAGCCTTAGACATGTGGCAGTTCTATTGTGTCAGCCTCCTAAGTGCTGAGATCACAGGGGTGAGCCACTATGCCTAACTTTTAGTTTCTTCAGATAGGGTCTCATGTAGCTCAGGCTGGCTTGCTATGTAGCTGAGGGTGACCTTGAACTCCTGATCCTCCTGCCTCTACTGTCCAAGTTCTGGGATCACAGGCATACCCAGCTAGAGAATAATAACGCTTTAAGTAGTGAATTTAGTCATGTTCTTCTGGAGACTAAGAAAATGGAGTCCTTGAAGTCAAGCTGACTCAGCCTTTAGCCTCCTAAATGAAAAGGTAGATAGAACAGGTCTTGTTTGCAAAATAAATCCAAGACCTACTTATCTACCAACAGCCATCACTTACTTTCTGCTCTCTTACTACAGGGAATAGTTGGAGTGAACTGATAGATAGCTGGGGAAAGCCACAGTGGACACAGTCTCAGTCTCCTAGTGATAGGGAGGTACCTGCAGGTCAGACGGGGGCTTGGAAAATTGAGGAGGCACTCCCTGTAGTGCAGGTTTCAAGGATCGTATCATTTACAGAATGCCACATGAGAGTAAATTGCACTGTGCATAGCTTCTGATGAGTGAGTCATATAGGGTGGCGATTTTACCAGATTTGAGGGTGAGAAAGTTGAGAATGCCCAACTGCTGGATTAACTTTTTCTATTTTGTACTGACAGCCAAATACATGCTCAGAAATATTTTACTGCATGTGTACAATGACTACATCATTAATCAGCAGGGGGCCTGTTATTTTTACTTTATGTTGGGGGGGTGGTGAGGAGAGGGTTTATGTGCCATGGTACACATATGAAGTTCAATGGTCAACTTTTGCAGTCTTTCCTCCCATCACATGGGTTCTGGAGATTGAACTCAGGTCAAATGACCAAAACCAAACCACCACCAACAATGACCAAAAAAAAAAAAAAAAAAAAAGTTATGTAAATAAAAACTATTTAATTTTACCCAAAGTCAGTGCTGTTTTGTGTTCCACATTCCTAACTACTTGTTCGTTCTATCTTCTAAAGATGTTACATTCTGGACAGTCTAACTAGTAAATGCTTGAATGCTTGCTAGTTCACACCAAGGTCCTGTGAAGGCTTTACAGGCTCCCATTCCGAGACAGGGAAAGCTGAGAGAAGAGGAGGTGTTAATAATGTAGGTTGCATTAATCTGCCCAGTATCAGGGATCGTGGTCATAGTGATCTGTTTTTTAAAATACTTTTCTATCCTGGGAGTGGTGGCAGGAGTTCAAGGCCGGCCAGCCTAATGTTTTTCATGTTTTTCTGCTTTGCTTTTTTTTAACAGATTTATCAGCGGGTTGCAGCTGAACATGGACACGAGGTAAACCCTGCCCCTGGTTGAAATTTAATCTCATCAACTTCAGCATGGGATTGTGAGGATGTGGAATATATCATAGAATCTAGCATGTTTTCCCTCCATTTTTAGATTTATCTTTTCTTCTTGAAGAAGATAACATGCTTAAACAAAGGGTCTTTATGGTTACTAACTTTAATTCTTGAAGTTGGGCGACCCTTAGTTTAAGTAAATTTTAAATGTCAAAGAACTAGATATCTTGTTAAATTAAAAAGAAAAAGTATTAAACTCTTACCAGGTGTCATTCTTTTTGCCATTTACCTATGCTTGTGTTCTGTGTGATACATTCCAGGAATCCCACTAGAACTCTGAAGTCAAACTGGCCATGTTTGTGATCCACATTCCCTATTTGGTGGCTTCTGTTTCAGTAGCTGAGAATACTTTTCACTATATATACATGCATATTGCATTAACAGTTTCAGCCAATTCTGTGTAAGGTAGGAGCACAGCTTCGCAGAGCAGTGTGTGTGTGTGTGTGTGTGTGTGAGAGAGAGAGAGAGAGAGAGAGAGAGAGAGAGAGAGAGAGAGAGAGAGGGACAGACAGACAGACAAGACAGACAGAAGCTGTTAAACTCTCTGGGCAAGTGATAATCAGAAATGCTAAAGGAGACAAGAGTTGTTGCTGTGTCAGAATTTGAGTGTGCTAGGAAACAAAATTAGAAGGATGTTTCCCTTCAACAAAACAATGGGTGGTCAGAGTGGGACTTGCCTGTGTTGGGTGGCATCATGGGACACGGGACTGGACACAGTCTCCTGTTGTTTTACAAGTAGAGTTCTTGCTCTGAGCTTTGACAGTGATGAGTGTGGTATTGGGTGAACAGGGGAGTCAGGAAGGCAGCTGATGGAGCCAGGTACCACGGCCACTAAATGGCACCCAAGAGCTGCAAGCTAGAGTGTGTTATTCTCTCTAGGAACCAGCTTTGACTTTGGTGGGCTGATGGTTACTTAGAAGCTATGTATGTGTGTATGTATACGTATATATCATATGTCATTTATTACTTGGCACTTAGATTTGTCATGACACCTCACCCACCTCACATCTCTATGAGACAGATGCTACTTTCCCTTTGTTTGAAGGAAAATAGAGGTCTGTAAGGTTTTAGGCAAAGTAGGTACAAAATAGCAATCAGACCCAGTTCTTGGTTTCAAATCTGGCTGCTTACATTTTATGACAGTACCTAGAGTGAATCATCACTAATGTTCTTTCTCATCTCCATCTATCCCTGGCGCCTTCCTCAGCACCCATGGAAAGTACCCCATTCACAAGTAGTCTCTCTCTCTCTCTCTCTCTCTCTCTCTCTCTCTCTCTCTCTCTGTGTGTGTGTGTGTGTGTGTGTGTGATATGTTCCCCTGAACTGCTGCTGGTGCCTTCTGTTCTTCACGTTGCCTCACAAGGTTTTCTTCCTTCCTCCCTGCCATAGGTGCTTTGCTATAGTTCTGAAAGAGCTCTCCCATCCTTCCCACCAAGGGCAGCATGAAGCCAAAGAGCAGTGGTTGCACAATGAAGGTGCTTGCTTTTTTAGCATGTGTTAGTGTGCACCTGTTGACATGTTAACCCCCGAGGTTGAGTTATAAACAAGGCACACACTGTGCTGCCTTTATGCATCTCAGAGGTGATCTCAGAACAAGAGTGGTGTCAGAACCACCAAGGAGAAGATGGTGTTATAGAATATGTACAATGGGAGGAACTTGCCATGCTGCTGCCAACTTTTGTTAGGAAACATGGGGGTGGTGGGTGGCTGACTTAGTCACTGTTCTATAGCTGTGCTAACACTATTTAAAAGTTCAGAGTGTCTTCTGAGACTCATAGCTATCTCTTATCTGTAACTTGAGGTGCCTGTGCTGCTAGGGAATGCTGAGAAACTGTGGAGGGTGTCAAGGTTGATAACACAGGACTCTTGATTGATGTTAAAAAGGCTCTTTATTCATCCTCCTTTACTTGGGGGGGATGGAGGGGTAGGGGGTGGGCTGGCTTATATACCCCAGCACCAGATGGAGGAGGGGGAAGCAAAGGGGGCAGTTAGTCATCTCAGGTTCCAAGGACCGGTTAGGGGGCTTTCAGGGTTGCAGAAGCCAAAGGAGCATTACCATTTTGCATTAGAAAACATGTCTCTTGTTTTCCTGGGGTTACAGCTGCCTGCTCTGAGGTCAGCAGGGGGACGTGAATTCTTAGCCAAGGTCTTAATTCCTATAATAACTCCTGTAAAATCAAGATAAAAATGCAGATCACACACACCCTTCCAACATACAGTGGCACAGACTATACAGAACCATTCTAGAGGAAGGAAGGGGAGCATAGTAAGGAAATACTGGACCAAAGCAAGACCTAAACCCAATGGCTAACTAAATTCTGCATCTGCATATCTAATGTCAGAGCACTCTTCAGAACTCCAACGCCTTCAGTCATGTTGACTTGAGCTGGTTCCACTCTCTGTTAACAGCTCTCCTTGGCAGCTATCCCATGACATCTGCCATCTCCAACATCTTTTGGTTTCCAAGGTAATCAGGTGTCAACCTTTACAGCGTACACTCTCTCTGGGCCTCCAATCAAGGACAATCTGGCTTCAATGGCTTTTCTTAGCTGTGGAGGGAGATTCCACAATCCCCTGTATTCTTGACTCTAAAGCCAGAACTTTGCTGTTTCTATGCTTGATGGGGCTGGAACATGGCTCCCTCGTCAATTACATTTGCATCAGCTTTTCTGTTGTTGATGGTTTTCTTTAATTCCATTCACAAGCTTAGTTAGGTGGGGTCTTACCCTAAGGTCAGTTTAGCTTCAGGCAGACTTCTAGTGCTAGGGCAACAAGCTTGTGATGACTAGACATTCAAATATATGAGCCTGTGGGGGCCATCCTTACTTAGTTTACCTCAATGGTTTGGAGACTGGTACCTGACTTCCTTGTGTTTCTGCAGTTTCTTGCCTTCTCAGGCTTTCTAGGTGAAATGTCACAAATGTGCAGGGACTGCTGAAGCCATCATGACTCCCTGATCCTATCCCTAGGTCTATAGGCTTAGGAGACTCGAAATACTTTACATATCTGCAAATAGACAAGTACAATTAGACCCCACAAGAGCCCGCTGAGTTCAGAGTCTAGCCCCTCATCAGCCTGGTCTGATAATGGCTCCCCTGGCATGCAGGGAACAACACACAGGATGAGTCCACATCAGGTGAAATGGCCCCAGTACACCATTCATCAGACACTAATGTGAACTTTAGCCTGTGCTGGATGCAGGAAACTTGAATACCAAGTTCAGCCAGTGAGGTGAGGGTGGCTGAGGGAGAGGACAAACATCAGAAGAGCCTAAAAAGAAGTGACATGCTTTGGCATTGAAATGCCATTGCAGATCTTTAGGCATCCAGGTTTTTCCAAAGAAAAACAGGGATGCACGAATTGGTGGAGCTGACAGCTGAATGTGTATAGGTGCTGAGCAATGTCCACGTTGAAAAACGACAGCTTGGAGTTGTCATAGTCCAGCAGGATGCCAATCTTCTTTGGAGCAACCGTGATTCGTATATCTGGAGTTGTCCTGTTGTGCAGAAACTCATACCGGTGCCTGAAAATTCAAAGTTGTTATAGCAGAATTTTGGTCACTACAGAGAGCTGTTTGCAGAGTATTTCATGCTGACTTGATTTACGCTCCTATGACTTTGTCCCTTTCTTGTAGTCAGTGACTACCAAGGAGCATGCCATTTCCAAACTACTATGAACTTCCACTACATCAGACTGGTACAGCAAGAGAAAACATTTGAAGCCAGTGTGTGACTCATTTGGAGTAAAGACATTTGAAATGGGGAGCCCTGTGGGTCTGTCTTCATGAGAAACAGGCTTCCTCTATAAACTGGACCAGGACTGTATGAAATCCAGTTCTTAAACTTACAGCTGAGCAGGGATTGCAGTCACCTCGCTGTCACAGGTGAGTGCTGAGCACTACCTGTCCCTTTTTGTTATATATCCTGTGTGCTTTGGAAAGTGACCAGAATCAAAACCAGCCACAGGACAGACATCTGAAGAACCCTGTTGTCCAGAATGCCGCTTCAGACGCCCTAGATCAACTCTATCTCCATTCACCTTCTCACTCACCAAACAGCAAATGAGCCCCTTCCTTCTCTCTACAAGTGGGCTCAAGACCATGAACCAGAACTATAACTCTAGTGGAAGGCTTGTCCTAACCCTGTCTCCCTGCCCCCTATGCACCAACTCCCATGCTTTCCTTATCTTCTCTATCTGACTCTTACCCTTGTTCTTTCTAAAGAGGCCATTGAGCTTTATTATTAGTTCAGATTAAGTGTCCGCAGAGCAATTCTTGCATCCCTAAAGTGGTTCCAAGGGTTAGCAGAGTCCAGTCTAATCCAAATCTCTCTTAAGAAAGCTGCTATTCTCTTTATGCTTGAACATGACCAATAACATTCTAATAAATGGTCATGCCAGGGTTTCTCTGTGCACCACTGGCTTAGGATAAAGACGTGCACAACCACCGCCCAGCCAGAGGCTGCATCTTCTCTGAGGTGCTTAGAAAGATGATAGAGACTTGTGGGGCATACGTGTGTGTTTTGTTTTGCAAGTTTTCAAGTGAAGGAAGGTGGTTGCCATGGCCTTTAAGCCCAAACATTTTGTATACTAGCCAGGACTCCGGGATTTTTTTCCCCTTCATCCACATGCAGAGCACAGCTGCAGAAGCCTTGGTCATAAGAACTCTTAGCCACACTGACTTAAAATGGAATTGGACTCACAGCAGCCATAAGCTTAGAATATGGGGGCTGAGCATAAATGAAAACACAACCAGTTTTAAGAATTGCACATGTGGCTGGGTGGTGGTGGTGCATGCCTTGAATCCCTTTAATCAGCACTAGAGAGGCAGAGGCAGGCGGATCTCAGTGAGTTCAAGGCCAGCCTGGTCTACAAAGTGAGTTCCAGGACAGCCAAGACCGTTACACAGTGAAACCTTGTCTCAAAAAAACAAAACAAAACAAAAAAACAAAAGTACATAAATCAAAACAAAAACAAAAATCTGTACACGTGAACCAACTGCCCGAGTTGGAAGCCAAGCACTGTTCACACTGGATAGATTGTCCAGCTTGGTCTACATAGGGTTTCAGGCTTGCCAGGGCTACAGAGTGAGACCATGACTCACTAGGGATGGGGGGAGTATAGGACACTGTTGGTAGCTGGAAAGCACAGCATGAGCTTTAGCCGTTCTTTCTCTTTCAGAAGTGAGTGGCAACAACTCTTGGAATACCTGGGACTTTTCTAAGCCAAAAGTGTGTGCCTTGATTACGTAACAAACCTCTTACTTGTGCTCTTAGCCCCTGTCTGGGTGTGTAGACTGCTTTTACCTTGTGGAGGTAAATGTATGTCTCATGCACCAGGACAAGCAGTTTGCTCCCAGGTCTTCCTGCTTAGGGACATCTTCACAGGCCACACCAATAGTGTAGTCCAAACGCTCATCCACCTCCACCTCCCAGTAATGGCGTCCTCGGACTGGAATCAGATTTCCAATGACAGCAACACACCTGGTTTTAGAAAGCAGAAGCATGGGCTGGGGTTGGGTGGTAGAGTGCTTGTGTAGCGTGCACAAGACTCTGGGTCCCATCAAAAGGTGGGAACATGTTTCCTTTAGGGTGCCACAAATATACCTAATGCTGAAGATTGGATAAGCTAACACTGAAACCCACAGAACAGATCTCTCAGGTGACCTTTATGCTGTGGGTGACAAGACTCCAGAGGTCGGGCAGGTGTAAAGGTGTGCTGTGCATGCCTGGCAACCTGAGTTCCACCCCCAGATCCCACAAAAGGTGGAAGGAGAGAGTCAACTCTGAAATGCTGTCCTCCACCCCCTCCCCATGGCATCTGTATATCTGCACTCACACATGCACATCTCACACACTAATAATGAGAATGATAGGAAACTCAAAGTGACTCAAAAGAAACTAGCATATTTCTCACCAATCATCAAAGCTTTCTGCTGGGAATTGTCGTGGACAACTCAGAGGGACATTTTAGTGTCCAAAATACTCAGCAAAGGAAGGTCACATCAGAATCTCCAAAGTATCTGTCTCATGTGCTAGCCAAACCTTGTGTAGCCTCCAGCTGGGAAGATTTGTTCAACTGGCATCAAACATTTTCTTCCACTCTTTAAGCCCCTGTCTGATTGCCCCAGCAAAGCTTTGGGAAAGCAGCCCACATCTCTACCTGTGGCAAATTCAGTGACTCAAATGGAAGCCATCATGTTCCCACCCTTCTCACCTGCCAGAATCCCCATTTCAATCCATCTGAAGGACCTGGGCTCAGTGTTAGTACTTAATCACTGTGTTTCCCAGCACCCCCATGGCAGCTCAGAAGTCTGTGACTCTAGTTCCAGGATCTGACACCCTGTTTTGGACTCTGTGTGTACCAAAGATGCATGCACAGACATGCATGCAGGCAAACACTTGTATATATAAAATAATACAATTTAAAAATATATAAAAGGCTGGGCAGTGGCGGTGCATGCCTTTAATCCCAGCACTTGGGAGGCAGAGCAGGTAGATCTCTTAAGTTCGAGGCCAACCCGGTCTACAAAGCAAGTGTCAGGTCAGCCAGGGCTACACAGAGAAACCCAGTTTTTAGAAACACACACACACACACACACACACACACACACACACACACACACACACACACAGCATCCAGGGATACACAGAGAAACCTGTTCTTAGAAACACACACACACACAGCTGATGTGGTATGTTGATGTGGCAGATTCATGGGGTCACTGACCAGCTTTTCTAGCTTACTAGCTGAGCCCCAGCCCAGTAAGAGACCATGTCTCAAAGACAAGATGGATGGCTCCCAAGAACACCTGAGGTTGATGTAAGACAAAATAAGTCTTCTACGAGCAGCTTTTGGTCATAGTGACAGTCATGAAAAGCACATAGGATAGGCTCCAGTAATGTCTTGAGTGCCTCTGCCTCATCTGTCATGGGCATGGCAGACCCATACCTGTTTGAGTCCTAGCAGAGGGCACAGATAGTAAGTACCTTCCTCTCTACCCTTGCACACAACACATCCATTCATAGGGCAATAGATACACTGGAATTGGGAGACTAAAATGGGGCTCACTAACTCAACTGGACCCCTAAAGAGCCAAGATAATGGCTCTTAAACTCATATCTCAAGATGAACTTCTGAACCACCTAAGCAGAAGCTGCAAAGAGGGATGGTCAAAAAAGCCTTTTCCAGCGTCAGGTACAGTGGCATACAACTGTATCCCAGTGCTTGGGAAGCAGGGACATGAAGCTGAGACATCCGGGGTAGTCCACATCCACCAGAGATCCTTTCTCAAAATAAAATAAATTGAAAACCCACTTAAGCAAGACTCAGTTGAGAGCACCTGCACCTCCCTGAGTACGGACAATGGTTGCTTTCTTAAACTTTCCCTGCCTGCCTCTCCACCCATGCTTGCTCTACTTGAAAGGCTTCTCTTAGTGAACTCCAGCTTTATTTAATACTGCCTCATCCCGAGATCATCTGATCTGCGCTTCTGCTTGGACTGGTAAAGCTGGCAGCCAGGAGCTGTGTCTCCAGCTGCTGCTGACAATGGGAGAGCCCTGTCTTCCCCAGCAGGGCCTCCAAGCGCTCACTTTTGACCACCTGGAAGCAGAGGGGCAGTTTGTACTACTGTTTAAAGCCAGGATATTGATTTCAGCATTGGGAGTTAATCTGCTCCCTTTTTTTTGTTGCTTTTATTTATTTTTTCTCCCTATTATGTAATAGCCCCTATTGTAAACCTTTTATATATCCTTGGAGAAGACGGTAGAGGTAAATAGATCAACATAATGTGTGGAGCTCTAGAAGGAACAGCAAACTGGACGGACAGACAGCCCTCCGGTAGCGTCTACCCTCAGGTCTTGTATAAGTACAAAGAGTTTTCTGCACCCACTTTAGGACTGGCCCACTCCACCAGTGATCTAAAGCACCCCAGTGTGAGGGCGATGGGACAAATAAACAGAGGTGAGAGGAGTTGCAGTTATACCAGAAACTGCCCAGGATGCCTCCCCAACTGCCACACATGCACTCAGGAAGAGGCTGCACCCTTAGAAAAACTGACATCATGTGTCACTTGTATTGTGGTTTTGACTCCTCTTGGCTTTTCTAGAGGCTTGGAAGAAATACTCTTAAAAGAGAGATCTGGTCCACCTGGATTTGGAAGGGAAAGGGTCACCTGATGTTGCCTTATAAATATTCATTAACCTCATTAAGAAGCTACAGAAGAGTTCACTGTGCTGCAGTCTGTTCTCTCCAGATCTGCAGTGCACACATTACTTTGCCAAGTGAACTTCTGCCAGGACTGTGAAGACAAGACCTGAGACAGTGTTCTCAACCTTTCTAACGCTGCCAACCCCAACCTTAAAATTACTTCCTTGTACTTCATCACTGCAATTTTTGCTGCTGTTATGAATCAATGTAAATATATGAAATTCAGGATGGTCTTAGGTGGCCCCTGTGGAAAGGTCATTCAACCAGCCCCCAAGGAGTTCGAGACCCACAGGTTGAGAACCACTGAAGTTGAGAACACTTCAACAGGGGAAGTGTTCAGAGCCTGGTTTTTGTCCCTGTTTCATGTGACCTGATATCATGGCCATATGCCATAGTCTCCACAGCCCGGGACCTCCCTCTGCAGAGGCCACCAGTGTTTCCCTTTCCTGGGTCCCTCCCCAACAGCTGCATTTTTAGTCTTCCTCTTTCAACTTCCTCTAACAGTGGCATTACAAAGCTCCCATTTTAATGCTCCATCCGGGGTCCAGTCAGATACCTGTTAAACTGGGCCTTGGTGGGTGGCAGCTCCCTTCTGAAAGTTTTCTTCTCACTTCGAACCACTGTAAACCCATCTTCAGAAATGGTCAGCCAGGGATGGCAGCTGTCCCTGTTCAGTTGGAAGTAGCTTCCTGTGGAGGGAGGAAACATCTAGAAGCCCCAACCAGTCATTGCAGGATTTTCCCAGCATGGCCTGGTGGCTGGTGGTACCCAAGAACAGGGTCCAGCGGCGTGCACAGAAGCCTGCCCCTGGCAGTCATGAACACCTATGCGGAGGGATGGCCACTGTAGGGCAGGACTTGGACACCCAGTGCCATGCAGCTTGCACATCTTGTCTCCCTTAGTCCTCAAGGCTATACCTAGACACAGGTGTTACTGTCTTCATTTTGTAGATAAGGAAACTGAGGCACAGGTGGTTAAGAAATAAATAGGCTGGCAAATGATAGAGCTCAGGTTGAACTTCTTGCCTCTCTGATTCCAGAGAACAGGTTTTAAATTTGCAGACTGTTTGTAACTGAGTAAGAATTTCTAACCTTGCCAAAGAAAATGAAGTTGAGTGAATTTGTTTTTTTTTTTTTTTTTTTTTTTTTTTTTGTTATTTTGAAAGACAGGGTCTCATATTGCAGCCCGGGCTCATCTGAAACCATTCTGTCACACAAACTGGCTTTGAACTTGTAGCAATCCTCCTGCCTCAGCCTCTTGTTTGCTGTTTAAAAAAGAAACTAAAGCTGGCTGTGCCTTTGCCCTCTGTGTCATTGTTTGTTTAGAGCAAGTATCTGTTATTTCAAAACGCCCAACTTGGTTTTCCCATCTATGTGGCAGGAATAGGAATGTGGGTTACTCACAGACCTCTCCTGCCAATGCAAATGGGGACAAAGAGGTACAGTGTGTTTCAGTGAAAGCTCCTAGTCAAGGGGAATTTGTTCCCAAACACTGGCTAGGCTCTCTGTTACTTCACCTGAAGGCCACCAGCTCAGCTGGCTTGAACTGGATTAATCTGTGTGGCTTCCAGAGGCCTCAGCTAAGCTCAGGTTGCAGAACTGTAGCACTGACAGGAGGGGGTGATGGGTGTGTGGATATTTCTAATAAGGTCTCTGCTCGCTCAGGACTTGGACATGGGATATGCCACTTCTCTGACATGAAGGCAGATGAGAAGGGATGTCAGCACCTGGTGTGGTCAGACAGAGCATGTAGGCAGGAGGAGGCTGAATAGTGGAGACTCAGGTGGCTTCTAACTGGGGAGGTGCTTGGTCTGACAGTAGGAGCAGGGAGGTAGCCATGGCTACTTGAAGTTCTTGAGAATGTCATTTAAAAAACCCTTTTCCAAACCAGGTGTAATGGCTCACACCTGTAATGCCCAGTCCCGGGGAGGCTGAGGCAGGAGGATCACCTTGAGTTCCAGGTTGGCTTGGCAATATATTGCATTACAGACCAGCCTGGGCTACGGAGTGAGACCCTATCTCAAAACACAAAACCAAAAAAAAAACACAGTGAGATAAGTATATGGGCCACCAGATCCAGTGGGTCAGCCTCTGGGGCATGAAGAAAAGTCTTGAGTTCTAGCACTTTCTCAGCCAACCCAAGTTCTCTGGGGCTTGGGCCTTCATCTATAAAAAGAGAACAAAGGCTTTGATGATCCAGAAGCCCCTTCAATGCCTTAGTTAGGTTTTTCTGGTGCACTCTTAGTACTGAGTCTGCAACACTGGCTAATTTTCTGTCCCAAGAGTGTGTGGCTGGGCACAGACCTGTGGTGTGCACCGTCGCAGGCTCACTCCTGGCACTGGTGCCCCCGACATTGAGGGCTCGGACGTAGATGGTGTAGCTGTGTCCAGGCTGCAGCTGTATCAGGGACTCACAGGTTGGGATGCCTACAACAGACCTGTGCACAGAAGCAGAGCAGACTGTCAGCATGAGCCCAAGCACCCGTTGTGCTGACCCATAGCAGCACAGCCAGAGTGTCAGCTCCCAGAGCAGCCCACAACTTGCTTGCTAGTCTGTGTCTGGCTGTCTCCCTTCCAAGTTCTTCAGCCAGGTTTCCCAAGCACCTAGCACTGTGCTCAAAGTGTCTACTGGAGCCTTGTGGCGTATGTACCATGTCTGCCTGTGGCTGTTAGGGCCATGACCTTCTGAGGACAGGACTGAGTACACTAACTATAGAACAGTCCTAGACCCATAGAAGGCTTCCTGTCTGTGTATGTCTATGAACAAACAACCCTGTTAAAAACAGCGGCCACAGAGGACAGTCCAATTCTTTTCAGTTGGACTGTGCGGGAATACAGATTTATAATAGTGCCATCTGGATTTCTGTGACTGTCAAGCTCATTTCAGTTCAATGGGCAAGAGAACTCTTCAGGATGGTGCCCGTACTGATAGGACACCTTACCCAGCCAAGGACAGGATGTCATGTTGGAGGCTGCAGCTCTGGGTCAGAGGGGCATTCCTACTTGTGTGTTTAGTAGATATTAACAAAGCCAGGTGCAATGTATGTCCTGGGGGGGAAACTGAACACAATTCCTGGGGAGCCTGCAGTCTGTGTGGGAAGAGAGGCACTTCTCAGGAGACCACCATGGTATTCATGAGAAGCCTATGGTGTGCTACAGTGTGGAAAGGTGATGGTGACTTTCGAGCTGAGTTCTGAAGAGTGGCTAAAAGGGGCAAAAGAGGGGCAGATAGAAGACACATGCACAAAGGTCCTGTGGCAGGGAGAAAGTAAAGCAGGAGCTGGAGAGGGAAGGGTTGTTGGTATGGGATGTGGGATGGAGAAGGAAGCTATAACCTTCCCTTCAGTGATGGGACATGTGATTCAGTTTGTCCTGGGAGGCTGAGCTCCACCTCAGATCACTGAAGCTTTCACTGAAGCTACTGTCCTGCCCGCTGAGGATCTGAGGACTCCATCATTATAGAATGGTCCAAGATCCCAGGTGATGATAATTATTACCACTGGCCCCCTCCCCTGACTCCTGATCTTTAGAAGTAGAAAAAAAAAAAGGCCGGCTTTGGGGTGCCTGTAGGCACATAGATCCTGGCAAGAACAGATAAATACGATACATGTTATGTTCCATGGCTGTCAACCAGCCCTGGCCGGAGACACTATGTCTCCACAGATGGAAGGAAAATGCCAAAGAGCTGTGTAGGGTAGCCATGGGACTCCAAACCAAACCTCTGAGCTCTAGAGTAGTGCAAACAAAGCACTTGCCATTTTATTATTAAAGCAAGCAAACCATGAGGTGATGTTTACAGTTAGCTTAAGTGAATACAAGCACAGCAGGGAATACACCTGATATTTTCTTATCATCTTTGGCCAAGTGAAAAGAGCCAAGACTATTCCTCACAGGCCTTTGCCATTCCCACAGAGATATAATGGGCATGCTTCATACCTTGCTTTCAAGTGTGTTTGCTCATGATAGTTTATGCAGTTCTTTATGGAAGGGCCCTGGGGGAAGAACATCCTGCACTCTGCCCTATCCATAGTCCACAGTAAGTACACACTTCCTTACATAGACTCCCACACAAGACCAGCATTAGAATTACCTCCCTTTCTGAGTGATCGCAGAGGGAGGGTAGATGGGGGAATGGAGGGGAGGAGGGGGGAGAAAGTGGGAGATGAGAAGGGAAGGGAGGCTGAGGTTGGGATATAAAATGAATTAATAAATAAATAGTAATAATAAAAGAATTTGCCTCCCTAACATCTGGCCTCAAAGGCCTTCTCCATTCTCCTGATGCAGCTCCGTGCACCCCTGCATTCCACTCAGAGCTCCCCTGGACTCCATGACAGTGGCTGGGCTGTCTAGCTGGATGATTCCTTGATCTGTATGCTTTAGAATGGCCTGGCTATAAGACGTCTGTGTGGGAAGAGAGGCATTAGAACAGCCTGGCTACAAGCCAGAAGCAGCCACACTTCCTCTGTGGTACCTTGCCATAGACTCTTGGGACCTGTAGACCCTGGTGGCCACCATGTCCTACCCTCATGGACTTGGGAAGGCCTCTCACTCTCCAGACAGCCTTCTGTATCCTTTGTACACTGTACATTGAGTCTCTTTTGTTATTCTTGTACCCTAATTTCAGTCACATTAGCCCCAGGCCCTGCAGTGTATCCAGCCCACTCCATCCCCAGGGTCATGCCCACCAAGCCCTTCTGCTCTCCCAAAAACATCTGGTTCACTCTTGCTCTTCTCAGGCTCAGTCCTCCCATCCTGGACTCAGTTTAAACATCTATCAGAAGAATAGGCCCTGCCCCCCCATTGTTCTCCCCACTGTATCTCTTTCTCTGAACTGTGCATTTTACATGTAGTTTATTAGTTTGCTCGTACTTATTTTCCTCCCTGGACTATGAGCTCCATAGGGCTCTGGTGCCATGAGACCCTCAGTACGTTATGAGATATATATATATATATATATATATATATATATATATATATCTCCAATCCATGCTGTGCTTGAATTTGCTATATAGACAAGAATGGTCTTAAACTCCTGATCCTCCTGCCTCCACGTTCTTCTAAGTGCTAGAATTATAGATGTGTAATACCATGCCTAGATTGTTTTTGTTTGGGGGAGGGATTTTGTTTGTTTGGTTTGTTTTTTTGACATAGGGTTTTTCCTGGAACTCACTCTGTAGACTAGTTTGGCCTAGAACTCCAAGATTCGCCTGCCTCTGGCTCCCCAGTGCTGGGTTTGAAGGCGTGCCACAACTACCCAGTGGTTTTTGTTGTTGTTTCTTGAGACTAGGTCTCACTCTGTGACCCAGGCCATCCCTTGGCAATGCTTCTGTCTTAGTTTACAAGTTCTTAGTTCATAGGTATATGCCACTGTGGTTGACCTAAAGATAAATCTTAGTTAAACTCTGTGTGTTTGTATGTGTGCAGTGTGTGCACGCATAGGTGTGTGTAGGTGTATGTGCTCTGTGTACACACATGGGGTAGAGGAGGACATCGAGTGTTCAGTTACTTTCTGTTTTATTCCTTTGAGACAGGGTCTCGCTCATTGATCCTGGAGCTAGGCTAGCAGCTAGTAAGCCCCAGTGGTCCTCCTGGGGTTACAGGTGAACAGCCACACCCAGCTTTTTCCATGGGTGCTGGGGATCCTAACTCAGATACTCACACTGCACAGCAACACTTTCAGCCACTGTGCCCTTAATTACCCTGCCCTCCTGGAGCAGGCAGGGGTGGCTCACCTTCATTCCAGAACTTGGGAGGAAGAGGTAGGAGATCTCTTTGAGTTCAAGGCCAGCCTGGTTTACAAAGTGAATTCTAGGACAATCAAGGCTATGCAGAAAAACCCTGTCTTGAAAAGAAAAATTATCCTCTCAGGCCTTAATTGGATTAAAACAAAAAGCTGACTCAGTTGTATTCATCATTCATGACCAACAGCATTTTAGCTACTTCTTAGGAACCTTAAGTATCCTAATTAAGATTGCTAAGCGTCACAAAATCTGACCTGGGCCACACACTGCATATTCATAGAAACCATCAAAGGCCCTCCAGACTCACTCAGTCACCCCCGACGCTTCCAGTGTTTCTGCCTGGATCAGCTCCACTGTGTAGGAGTCCACAGGATTCAGGTTCCCAGATTCCCAGCAAATGAGTGCAGCCTCCTCACAGCTTCTGATCGCCTCACTTTTTATAGTGGGGGGAGAGGGGGCTACGCGCAGGAGAAAGACAGGAGCAACCATTAGGCTCAGTCCCGGCCATTTTGTTTAAAGCCGTGGACAAACACCACAGCAACACAAGCACCTGGAAACCCTTTCAGGCTGTCACTACACCTGTGGCGGTTTGAGTAAAACATTGTTGTCCTGTGTTGGTCAACTGGTTGCTATGGCCTACAGGCCCTCCCAGGGTGGTTGCTATGGCCTATGGGTCCTCCCAGGACAGTTGCTATGGCCTATGGGCCCTCCCAGGGCGGTTGCTATGCTCTGCACGTCACTTTTATGCCACTTGAGAGCTGTAAAGCACATCCAGAGTCCAGCCAGCTAACTTCCCGTCGGTTCCTTGCCACGTGGAGATTATCTGACCTAGGGCAGCTCCTGCAAAGTCAGAAGGCCAGAAACTGAGCTAGGTCTTTTCTGCAGCCTGTCATGGCTGCTAAAGCAGGGGGCTGGGTGAGGGCCTGGTCCCTTCAAAATGTCTCACATAGTCCAGGGCACTTGAATGTTTGGTCCCCAACTGGTAACCCTGTTTGGAGAGTTTTAGGAGGTGTAGCCTTGTTGGAGGAACCCTGTCAGTGTAGGTGGGATTTGAGGATGGAAAGACGCACACCATCTCTGGTAGCACTTGCAGCTCAAGATCTGAGCTCTCGGTTCCCTGCTCCGTGTACCTGCTGCCATGTCTCTGCTGTGACTTTTTTGTTTTGTTTGTTTGTGTGTTTTTTCAAGGCAGCGTTTCTCTGTAGTTTTGGAGCCTGTCCTGGAACTCTCTCCGTAGACCAGGCTAGCCTTGAATTCACAGAGAGCCACCTGCCTCTGCTTCCCAAGTGCTGGGATTAAAGTTGTGCTGTGACTCTTATCCCTCTGGAACAAATAAACCCTTCCTATAACCACAAATAAACCCTTTCTTCTTTAAGTTGCCTGTGATATGGTGTTTCAGTATTGCAGTAGAAAGCAACTTAATAGAAGTCCAAATGTCAGTGTAACTGTGGGTAGCAGGCCAACCGTGAAAAAAAAAAAAAAAAAATCCCTACAACACCAGGCATGTAGATCTAATGCATTAAATGAAGCACAGAAAAAAGAAAATTAAAAAAATCCCCCACACAGCTCTATCCTATTAAATTAAATGGAAACGCAGTCACATCTAGGAACATGCAACTCCTGTGATGCATTATGAAAATGAACAGCTCAGTACCTGTCATGTATACTGCGTGCTCACTGGAGGGGCTGGGACCAGTCCTGTTCTGAGCTATCACCCAAAACTCATACTGGGTATTTGGCTCAAGATTTGTCACTGAGCAATATGTTTCTTTGACCGTCATGCTAAACTCTGGAAGAAAAAGAAAAAAGTCAGAATTCAAACCTTAAAAAGCCATATGGCTTTATTGTGTCTCATTGTAAAAATCCAGGCTGCAGATCCTCCCTCCCCTGCAGGCATGCCCTTCGGCCTGTGCTGAGGCTCTGGCTTCCAACCAGACTTTAAAGTGGGGCTTACTTTGATGATAGCTTAGCGGTCAGTGACAAGCAGGACACAAGGGAAGGCTTGGGACACAGTGAGGGGCTTACCACCCTTACTGCTGGGAATGTTTTGCTACATATAAGGACACCCCTCTGGAGAGTTCACTACCTACGCGGAGGGGAGAACCCCTCCCCCTTCCCCCTTCCCCCTTCCCCCTACCCACTTCCTTGGTTAGTGATTAATGCAGAGACTCCTAAAGGGTGGAAATGCCAACTGTAAATGACTCTGAGTGGTTAGCTGTGGGTGGAGGTGGGGTCTTTATCAATGTCCCAGCATCTAAGGCTCAAAGAAGAGGGCTCAGAAAGAATTACTGGGGCACATGGGGAGGAGAGTTGTGAAATGATGACTTCTAGACATGATGTTGCTGCTTTGAACATCACCGGACAGCAGCTGTGGTTACCCTCATATCAAGCCAGCCAAGCTTCGCACTTGGGTGGGGGAGGGCCCAGGAGACCTATGGCATCTTTGCGGATGTGGCCTCTGGTAGGTTGCTCATGCTCCAGTGGATGGCTATGTGGACAGCACTAATTGGCTTTGGGGTTATTAGTAACAAAAACCAAAAATAAAAGAGGACATGATGTTGGGAGAGAGATGGGGGGGTGGGTGGGAGCACTAGGAGGAGCTGCGGTGGGGTAGTGGTGGACAGGTGTGACCAATATTCATTTTATAAATGTATAAATGTATGCAACTTTCAAATAATAAAAAGTATATTTTTATTTCTTTTCTTTTCTTTTCTTTTTTTTACGTACATTGGTGTTTTGCCTGCGTGTGTCTGTATGAGGGTGTCGGATGCCCTGTAACACCTGGTATAGTTGTGAGCTGCCTGATGTGGGTGCTGGGAATTGAACCTGGATCCTCTGGAAAAGCAGTTGGTGCTCTTAACTGCTGAGCCATCTCTCCAGCCCCCCAAAAAATATTTTTTAAAAATCTCCTTTCTGGCTCTGGGCAGAAATGCTGTCCTCACCTCCCTTAACTCAGACCTCTGCCTGTGTAGCCTGGAAGAGTGTGCAGTGCTCTGGGCAGGGAGCCGGCAGACCTGGTTCTCATCCTGGGTCTGCCATACTTCCTGTGGCCCAAAGACAGCTTGTTTCTCTCTGAGCCTGTCAATCTCACTCTGACCCGACTCACACTGGACAGACCTACCAGCAGGACCAGATCCTTATTACTTCAGGTCTGTGGGGCGTGGGAGGAGTAATTTTTCTGTAGTCTGATCTCCCCTTCTTGTTATGATTTAAAGAAATGACCCCAACAGCTATGTGTTGAAGGCTGTCCCAAGCCCAGTACCCCAGGAAGTGGTGAAAACTTCAGAAACTGTGCCCTCATGGGAGGAAACGTGTCCTTGATGTTTAGCTGGGGAGGGATGACCCACCTTTAATGTGGGTGCCACCATTCTGTGGGCAGAGGACCCAGACTGAATATAAAGGAGAAAGTGAATACAACACCAGCATTCCTCTGTCTCTCTCTCTTGACTGTGGACACAATGTGACCAACGGTCTCATTAACAGCAACAAGAAAAGTAACTAGCCAATAGCTACTACAAATACACTGCTCACAGGAGAAGGGCTGGTGGATCGTGGAAGGGTAGCCCCAGTCCTAGTACCACACAAGCCATTTCCCTGGGGGTGAAGATAGACCTAGAGCTGCCCAGAGCAAGGGTCATACCCTGAAGCATTCCGGCCAGCATCAGCTCTTTCCGGCTCTGTACCTTACCTGCTTGGTCCTTGCCAGGTGAGCTGTCCCGCACTGGCCTGTAGGACAGCTGGTAGCTCTCCACAGTGTCATCAGAGTATAAGCTCCAGCACACACGGACGGAGGACCCTGTGGCCGAGTTGGGGGCCTGTGGGTTTATCACTGGAGCAGAGGGAGCTGAAAAACCAAGAGAGAGAAAACAACATTGAGACTGAGGAGCTGTATGTGCAGGTGTGGGGTGGGGTAGACACTTTTTATTTTATTGTATGATTTTGTGTGCATGTCTGTGCACCATGTGCAGACCTGGTGCCCATGGAAGACAGACAAAAAAGATATTTACAACTGATATTCAAAACAGTGAAGAATCTCCAAAACTCAATGGCAAACAAAACAGACAATCTCTAAAAAACATCATTTAAAAGTGAACAAAGGGCTCAAACAGATGTTTGTCTAAAGGAGCCCTACAAATTGCCACCAAGAGTATGAGCAAGTGCTCAACATCAGTAATCATGAGGAAAAAGAGGGCCATGTGTGGTGGAGCATGCCTGTAATCCCAGCACCTGGTAGGCTGAGGCTCACAAGGGTGAGGTGAGCCTGGGCTACACTGTGAGTTCTACAGCTGCCTCAACAAAACTAAAAACAGCTAAGAAAGCCCCCAAAACATAATGAGCTACCCCCTCACTCATGCTCGAACAGCCACATTCAGAAAGCTTGTGTAGCGCCCATGAGGCGTGGGTTCAATCCCCAGCACTGCACATGGGGTGGGGGAGAAGAGAACTGTCAAATGGATCAGCAATCCTACTTTTAGGCATAGATCCAAAAGAAGTGAAATCAGGTCCTAGACATTTTACACTCATTTCATGGTGCCTTATTCACAGTGGCCAATTAAAAGACCAATCTAGTGTCCATCAGCAGTTTACTGGAGAAAGACATTGTGGTATGTTTACTCAGTGGAATAAAGCTGAGCCTTGGAAGGGGAAAAAAAGTCCTGAACTGGGGAGGTGGCTCAGTCATGAAAGTGCTTGCCAAATAAGCCCGAGGACCTGAGCTTAGAGCCCCAATGACCACGTAAATGCACAATTCTGTACATCTTGAGGTATACATCCTGCAGCATACTGGCCAAACAGCCTAGACAACCTGGGAGCTCTAAGTTCAAGGAGACACCCTGTTTCAAAAGCCAAAGTGTAGAGCAGTAGAGGAAGATGCTTGACGTCAGTCTCTGGTCTCCATATGCACATGAATGCATGTGAATGTGCACCCCACCCACAACACACACACAACACACCACACACACAACACTACATGCACACACATACTACACACACATACACACCACACACATAACACACACACAACACACTACATGCACACACATACTACACAGACATACACACCACACACATAACACCCACCCACCACACATAACACACACACACACACACACACACACACACCATAAACTACACATACACCACACATAACTCACACATACAAACACACACACCACACACACACACCACACACACACACCACATACATGCATACATACATACATACACACACACCACACCATACATACTACACAGACCACACATCCAAATACAATACACACACATACACCACACCACACAGAGAGAGAGGAGAAAGAGATAATGCTTGTTAAGACCCCTTAGCATCAGATCTATTGTCTTACCATAAGTGGAAGTGACAGATACCATACTGTTAGTTCCATGTGCTGAGCATATCTCTAAATCTTACCTTGCAAAAATAAGTCCTTCTACCCATCCGGCAGTTCCCATCTCTCCCATCCCCAGTCCTGTTTGCTGATTCTGTGAGTTTGACTTCTTCAGGCACCTCACGGAAGGCAAATCATGCTTATCTTTCTGTGAAAGGTTTGTTCTCTCTCTGTCTCTATCTCTCTATCTGTCTCTGTGTCTCTGTCTCTCTCTGAAATCAAGCTCCTGTGGAGATGCATAAGCCAGATCCACACCTGGAACGGTGTTGATAGAATCCATCAGCTGCTCCACGTCAGAGAAATCCAAGGTCTGGTCTTCAAACTCAGGCTGTGCAGAGAGCTCCACGTCTGTCTTGGTTTTCAGAAATTTCCCCAGTCTATAGATATAAAAAGACACAGCCAGGGGCTGGGGAGTTGCATCATCAGTTGAGAGCACTGGCTGCTCTTCCAGAGGACCTAGGTTCAATTTCCAGCACCCAAATAGCCGCTCACAACCCTCTGAAACCCCAGTTCCAGGATATGTGACATTCTCTTTTGGCCCCTATGGACACTAGCTACACACATGGTCCACAGACATTCATGCAGGCAAAACACTCACACATGTTTTAAAAGAACAACACAAATTCACACAAAGATGGAGGGGCTTTCTTCTTAGGGTACATTTATAGTGCTGTGTCACTAAGAGGAAATAGAGGGCCTGTTTGACAAACTTGCATTTCTTCTCGGGCTTCTTGATTCTGATATCTGATGTGATGATGGGCCCATGTTTTAGGTTCATGGTCATCTAGCTCAGCTCTTAGGTGGAAACATGGGGGAGGGGGCAAAATGGAGGAAAACTGCTCATCTTAGGCAGGAAGCAGAGAGAGTCTAGAAGAAAGAGCCAGGGACAAGACATATCTTCAACCCTCTAGTGATCCACCTCCTCCAGCGAGGCCCCAGCTTCTCATCTCCATCACCTCCCCATGGTACCATAGAATTAGGAGCCCATCTAAAGATCCTCATTCAGGAGATCTGGCTCTGCTGATTCAATCACCCAGAACCCCACTTCTGAAAACAGTTGCTTTGAGAACCAAGCCATCAACTCATGAGTCTGTCAGGGAACACTTCCTATCCAAACCATCCAACAATGTCTCAGCCAGTGGTTCTCCACCTTCCTAATGCTGAGACCCTTTAATACAGTTCCTCATGTTGTGGTGACCCCAACCATAACATTACTTTTGTTGCTACTTCACAACTCTATTTGTGCTATTGCTATGAATCATGTTTTCCATAGTCTCAGGTGACTCCTGCGAAAGGGTTGTTTGACCATCCCCAACCACCCACCTTCCTCCCCCTGCCAAAGGGGTTTTGATCCACTGATTGAGAAACATTGGTCTAATCCCTCCCAGGGGAAAGAGGAAGGGCTGGGCCTAAGAATGAGTGGAAGTCTGTCCATCAGCAGGGTGCAGACCCACATTTTCTCCACTCCCTCATCACCCCACATCCCCACATGGACTTTGGGTTTCTGCTCTGGAGACTCACACCTCACATGGTCCAGAGGCTCTAAATGGTCTTGCATCTGCTCCCTGCCTATCATGAAGCTTCTAAGTGACAAAGGTGGAATTTGAAATCCAGGTCCATTTTTTCCAAAACATACGTACTTAGGCCTTTACATTAAGTTCCCATATTGCTCTACAGACATCGTCTTACTAAGTCATCCCAGAGCCACCGCTGTTTGTAAGTAGGGAAGGTGGGGCATTGGACTTGGATCTGTCCAAGGTCACTGTGGAGATGGGTCTACACTGCACTGTTTCTGACTTTAAAGTTTGCATGCCTTCTGCCATTATATGACCAAGGGCTGAGGAGGGCTTGGGACATGTACCAGTCCTCAGTTTCTCCCAGTGGAACAAGGTGTGAGGGAACCTGGGCACTGGCTTGCTGGATGGGCCTCACCACATTTTCCCTTCCAGCCCCAAAATTCTAAGATTCAACCCCAAAGAGGCCCCACTGACCCCACACCACCATGCGAAGCCAGTATTACTGTATGTATAGAGCCACTGGAGCTGAGTAGGGAAGCAGGTACCCCAGCAGAACCCAGTCTAGAAGTGAAAGGAATGGACAAAGACACTAGGTCAGGACAAAACTATTACCTGTCAGTCATAGCCACTGCATCCTGAAAAGGAAGGGAAAATATTAAACCAAATTAGTAAATAACTTTTCCTAACAATATAAAATGTAATTTTTTTTGAAGTTGGAAATTACGAAAAGGGAATTACCCTAACAAACCACCACCATGTTTGTGTCTTTCCTTCTACACTCCTACACCTTCCGGGTCACACAGGGTCCTTCAGACCACTGACTACAAAGACTGCAAGGGATCATTCCTAGAAACACCATTGTTTACTCACTGGCTCCTCTGTTTAGGACACTGGCTGTGTACAGATTTTCACCATCATAAGTAATGTGTTGTTTTCTACATTCTGTATTTGAGCTACAGTGGCACCGTGGGACCAAGAAGCTGAGCATTGGTTCCTCTTGAAGCACTCACCAGGTTGTTCCCCACCTTTATCCGTGATCAAGATGAGAAGGACGTATAATTTGGGCTTTGAGGAGTAGCTACGAGCTTGGACAATGAGGGGATCGTACTCAGCATCTGCGAAGATCTGAGGACCTCTTTGTGAACCCACACCTGTACCTTAGTCTCATGGGGCCTTGCAAGTTCTCTAAAGGAGGCTGAAATTCCTGTAACTCTGCTATGTGGGATGTGGGCCAGATTTAATGTGATTTGAACATAATTAAGGATGGATACTTTTGGCATATGCATGAAGTTACAAAGCAAGATTTACGACTGCCACCTTGGCACAGGGCAATTTAAGGTGCCGTATTAACCCAGACCAATTTTCTCCCAGAGATCCAAGAGAAGCTATCAGGGGCAGCCAAGAAACTCTCAGGACACTGTCTTTGCTCACCTCCATGATCTAAGAGGGTCAATGATAAAGAGACAGAGGAACAAAGCTTAGAGTTACCTGAGGAGTGGTGGAAAGAAAGGGCCAGGTGTCCCTGCCCGCTTGGCCACTAATGAAGTGATGTGGAGAGGCAGCCTCCCACCATGAACATCAGATAGACGTTGACCATCACAGTTAATTGAGATCTCTGGGAAGACAGAGGGTAGACTAGCCTACTCTAGGCTGAACCTGGGATTTCATCTCATGGTTTTGTTCCTTTCCTCTGTTTCGTCACAGACCTTTAAGAACTCAACCTTCTCTTCATGACACATCTCCTCTATGGTTTCCATCAGCTCTCTACAGGCATCAAGGTTTTCTCCACAGGTGACCAGTTGTTCATATAAAGATTCCAGCTTCTCCTTCTTTTTCTCTCCTAGGGCTTGAATTTTTTCTTCGTACTTTTGAGCGAGGGTTTCCAAGATCTCATTGTAATGTGACTCAAAGTTTTGTTCTTGTCTTCCAAAATTCTCCTGCAAGACAGGTGACCTCAACCATTATTTTAGTGCATGTGATGTGTTGGCTAGAGTCACTGGGGTCATGGAACTCTGTCTACCCTGAGCTGTTTTCATCGCTTCACTTGATCCCGTCTCTTAGCAGGATGCTGCAGGAGTGAAAACAGAGAGTCCTTACATCCCCAGGAATGATCTTTAATTAGTTAACTTAATTAATGCATATGAACATGTGGATGTGCATACATACTTGTATGTGTGGAAGCCAGACAACCTCAGGTGTCGTCACAGTCTCTCACTGGCAGAGTGTGCCAATTAGGTAAGCCTGGCTGACCAGTGAGCTCCAGAGAGTCTCTTCTCTCTGCCTCCCAGCACTGGGATTACACGCATATGTCCCCACAACCACATTTTCTGTGTGGGTTTTTGGGGTCAAACTTGGGTCCTCAAACTTCACCAACTGAGATGTGTGCTTCCTGGCCCTGGGTGTGTGGTGCCCAGCCCTGAGCACTCTCACCAGAAAGTGCTGCTATGGTTCTTGGCAGCATGTTGCAATCCTCTCCCTGTTTCAGCTACCTCCTATTACCATAGCAACCAGCCTAGGAGCTCATCAATGGTTAATCAGCTTGCTGCTGGAAGCTTTGACTTCAAGGCAGAAATGTTTGCCCTGAGAGATGTCCACCTTCTATTCCCTCCTGGGCTCTCACATCTTATGATATCTGTCTTCCCTAACTGATACATGGATTGTATAAACACCAGCAGTGTATCAACTTGATTCATGCCAGTGAGGAGAGATACGAAAGCAGAGAAGGAAAGGTTGTGTCAAATGGCACTGCCTAATGAATGAGGGAATGCAGGAAGAAGAATATTTACACATTGAATATGGCATGTGTAGTATTTATGTGTTTATTGATTTATCATAGCATCTTATTAGGTGGCCCTATATGGCTTGGCACCCATTATATAGGCCAGGTTGGCCTGGAATTCACAGCAATCCCTTTGCCTTAGCTTTCCAAGTGCTGGGATCACAGGCATGCACCACCACAGCTGGCTGATACCTATAGTATTTAAAACTGGGAGCACTGAGTCTGGAGAATGCTGAGTAGAGATGATTTCTGGTGTTCATTTCTCACACTGGAAGGCTCACGAGAGCTCGGTAGTTTCTGACTGTTGCCACCTTCATCCAATGACAAGGACATTTTCAAAGAAGAGGCTTCTGGGGGTCGGCTGCCTACTGTGTGCATGAAAATCACTCAGAATGGTGAGAGGGTAAAGCGACAGATGAGTCTCCAGTGAAGGTAACAGGAGGTCCCCAGTATCCTCACTGGGAATGGAGATACTTGGATCTGAGAGTATGACAGATGGCAGGATGACAGAATAGAGCATAAGGAACTTAAAAGAGAAAAGGTTGGTGTTTTGCCTGACCATGTCTGTGCATCACATGCATATAGTGCCCACAGAGGCCAGAAGAGAGAATTGGATGCCCAGAATTAAAATTACAGGCCATTGTGAGCCACCTGGGAATCAAACCTAGGTCCTCTAGAAGAGCAGCAGTGTTCTTAACCTCTGAGCCATCTCTCCAGTCCAAGCATAATGAGTTAGCTCTGGCTGTCTCACTCTTATCCCTCCTCCTACCACCTCGTGTTTGAAAGTAGAAAGGCTTCCATCCTTCCCACTCCATCCACAGGAATAGTGGGACAGCTCTCTCTCCCCCTTTAAGGCTGAGGGTGAAGGATGAGTGTCTTGCAGTGTTTAACTAAAGCTGGTCAGGGCAGAGGATTTGCTCTTGCTCTGTGGAGCTCTAGGGGACAGTATGACCAATGGGCAGCCAAGAACAGCTTCCAGTTCAGTAATCTTGGAGCATGGATGAAGAACCTACATTCTTCCCATGTCAGGCAGGAAGAGAACCAGCATTAAAGGATGGGAAGTTCCTTTTGAGGTGATGCAGATATAGGGAATAGCTTAGCAACCCTGGACTCCACTTGTCTTGGGCTCTTCACACTCCTAGACTCTGAACAATGCACCTAGCAACCTGCCAGCAATTTAGGACCCCTACTTGCATAGAGCTGCATGTATACATACTTTAAGCAATGAAAATAGTTATTCTTCTCTTGGTAACACCCATTTCCATTTCAAACACACTCTGGAACACAATCCAGGGCGATGGGCAATGTGCTGATCTGGCCTAGGCTGGGTGCAAGCATATTAAGTCAAACTGTGCCCACAACGTGAACTTCCAGAGAGAAGAGAGAACATTGTATTTACCATCTTATACTTATGCATAATTGGCCATGCATTGTGATTGAAATCAGATACATCATGGGAAGTGATATGGGCAATGAAGAAGGGTTCATGTGATCTAAGCCTGTCAGTCAAAATAGGAAATTGCCTACTATAATCAAAGTCCTCTAACAATAATCAGCATGCATGAGTACTCTCACTCATGTGTCCTGTTGTCAACGTTTTGCTTGTTTGTTTGTTTTGAGACAGGGTTCCTCTGTGTAGCCCTGGCTGTCCAGGAGCTCACTATGTAGACCAGGCTGGCCTCAAACTCAGAGGTCCACCTGCCCCTGCCTCCCAAGTGATGGGCTCAAAGGTGTCACCACCATGCCCAGTCCTGTTGTCAGTCTTAACAGTGTATTTCTAATCTGTTCTATCATTTTGCTTCGAGTAAAATTTTCTTGCTACTGAAACCTGTTTGACAAATAAATGCCAGTGAGTGTGTGAACAAAAGGGAATCCATATACACCAGTGTTGGTGAGGTACACTATTCAGACACCATGGAAATCAGTATGGAGGTGCCTCAAAAACTGAAAATACATCTTGTTGGTATTCAGGCACAGCACTGGCCTGTCCTTGGGATTCTGACAGCTGAAGCACTAAGAGCACCACCTGTGCCTATTTATTCACTGTGTTCCCTTTTAAAAGGGCCCTGCCCATCTGCCATCCACCTCTTTCTCCCTCTCTCTGTCTGTCTTTCTCACTCTCTGCCTCTCTTTACTCTCTCTCTCGCTGCTCTCTTCAGAGGCCCGTCTCCCCCTCCCTCTTCTCTTTTTATGATCCCTTTCCCCTAGTAAAAACCCCTCCACTTGAACTCTGTCGCATGGCACCTTTCTCACTCCAGCTTCCTCCTCTTCTCCCTTTTTAAAATTACTTTGGTCCAGGTCAGCCTGCCACAGACACTCGCACATCTATGCTTATTGAGGCTACTCAGAAAAGCTAAGTTGTGGAACTAAACTAGGTGTCCATCAATAAAGGGATAGGTAAAGAACATGCACATACACACAGCGTAATTGTTTGCAGGAAAATTAATGCTAGTGGAAATAATTCAATTAAGTGAATTAAACTAGCCTCAGAAGATGAATATACATTCTCTGTCATTTGTGGTTCCTAAATTTTATATAGATTCATAAAATCCTGTATGTGCATATGCCATTAAAGTTTCTAGGGAGCAGAGAATATGAAGGGGAGAGGAACAGGAAAGATAAAAGAGGGGAGTGGAGTTGGGGGAATACACTCAACACACATGAAATAGATGTATGAAAATGTCCTGATGTAACATAGTATGTACAATGAATATGCACAGTAAATGTTTTCTAAGGTGAGGAAACTTTGACAGTTCACACCTGATTTAATACAGTGACATGGCATGGCAATACCCTAAAAACCTAAAATTGAAAACCAGACAGCAAAACAACAACATGAAGCCTGCTGTGTCTGGTTATACAGCAGGACACCAGATAGTACCCAAGGAAATCTCAGGGTGAGACCAAGAGCAAGAAAAGGAAAGAAAAGAACCAAAACCAACCTGTTGTGTTTTAAAGTCCTGGTTAGTGGAAAGGTTTCTGTAAACCCTCTACCTCTGTTACAATAAGCCAATCAGACCGGATTAATACATCCAGGTTTAATCTGAGCAAAGCATTCTTGGGTGGCCACAGGGGAAGAGAAAACCAGGAACCAGAAGGTGAATCCAGAGGGGGGGCTTTTAATGTCCTCGTGGGGTGGAACCAACAATGGTGGGCTTTTTAGGGGTGGAGTCTGGACTGAGGTGACTCCAGGGAGGGCCTGCCCTTGGCACCCTGAGGCGGGGTTTGAAACGGTTACCAAATATTCTTTTGTATAGAGATACAGAGGCAGGTAGGGCTTCCACCTAAACACAACCAACCAAACAAAAGGCCCACCAAGGACAGGGGCTAAGGGAAGTGGCTCAGTAGGCAAAGTGCTTGCTATGCAAGCATGAAGGTCTGGATTTGGATCTCCAGTGTCTGTATAAAAAGCTAGGTGCAGTAGTGATCCTATGTAATCCCATCACTGAGGTGACCCATACCGGGGGATCTCCAGGTCTAGCTGGCCAACCAGGCAACCCAAATTAGAGAGCTCTAATTTCAGTGATAGACCCAGTCTCAAAAAATAAGGTACAGAGTGGCTGAGGAAGACACCCAAACTTGACCTCTGACTCTCACATGTGTGAGCATATATGTGTATGTACACTCGTACACACAGGTACACACGAACACACACATATGTTCCCTACCCCACACCAGCTTCAAGGACAGAAGAAAACTGTTCACTTCACCATCTGGATGGTGTTACCATAGAGTCATCATTGTTGGAATTTAAAAAAAAAACTAAACCCTATGCAATTGGCGCTTTAATTGGAAAATTTCTGCTTTATTTATCCATGCCATTAACATGTATAACATACTTGCTTTGAAACATCCTGAGTGATAGGCCTGCAGGTACACACACCGGCCTCTCCCACCTAGAGGACACAGTGGGTGTGGTAGGGGATGCAGACAAGTGACCATCATCTCTGTGGCTGCCCAGGGTTGGTGGAAGGTCCATGGAAAGCTGAAGGGAGGGGCAGGTGACATCTTACATTCTGAAAAAATAGCTTCCTAGGGGCATGCCTTTAATCCCAGCACTCAGGAGGCAGAGAGGCAGGCAGATCTTTATGAGTTTGAGGGCAGCCTGGTCTACAGAGCGAGTCCAGGACAGCCGGAGCCGCAACACAGAGGAACTCTGTCTCAAAAAACAAAACAAAAAGAAGAAAGAAAAAGAAAAGAAAGAGCTTCTGTAGCTACCTAGGACCATTTGCTTGGTGTAGTCATGGATGGAAGTTACATGTGTGATGAAATCACCAAACATGTTCTTACCTCCACTGTAATGAACACTTCCTCCAGGTGGCTAGCGAAATTTTCCATCTCAATGATCTGCTGTTCCAATTTGCACATGTTTTTGTGGACTTCATCCTGTGGAACAGAACAAACAAAGCATTAATGCTATATTTGTTCTAACTTTAAATTAAAAAAATATATGTATGTGTGTTTGCCTGCATGTATACCATACAGAAGAGGGCATCAGATTCCCTGTGCCTACTATAGATGCTAGTGAACTACCATTGGGTCCTGGGAATCGAACCCAAGTCCTCTACAAGGAGAACCAGTGTAGAGGCATTTAGGATGTATTCCCTGCCCACTTCCCTGAGACATACATACACGCTCCAGACAACAATGGAAGAAGACCTGTTACCTTGGCACTTTCCAGTGCTTTGTTGAGTGGTGTTACTTCATGTTCCTTGTGTATTTCAAAATCTTTCTCAGCAGTTCTTACTGGAGTTTTGCAAGTGACACAGAAGACGTCAGCAGGCTCTTCTTCATCCTCCTCCTCTGGGATGACATAGCACTCATACTCCTCACTGGCACGGCCATGTGTGTACCTGTAGGCTTCCCGAAGGTCTTGGCCCTGGCCAGGAAAGCCTTGCCCTCCGTAGCCCAGGTCCTCGGCCTCACCCACCTCACTGCTAATCTCCCAGCCTCTCTGCTCTCTGACTGGGTCTCTCCTCCTCATTCCATAAGAAGGATACCCCAGAGTTCCCAGTCTGTGTTCATCAACAAACTCATTCCCTAACTCACGGTCATCTTCAAGTCCGTATAAATGGACAAGCTCGTCCACTTCCTTCTGAAGATTCTTACTGTCCCCTGCCCCTCTCGGCTCATTGGTCGTCTCAGCCTGGATTACTTCTCTCCTGATTCTGCTGCTTTCTCTTGGGAAGAGCTGCAGCCTGTCTTCAGAGTCATACAGGTCCATATGATAAAAGTGGAAGTCCTTAGGGGCTGTTGACCTACCCAGCCCCAGCTCCTCCCCTGCTTCCTCCTCCATTGATACAGAACAATCCTTCTCAGATAGTCAGTGAATATTCTGGATCCTAGGACACAGAAGAGATGAATATCAGTTCTCAAGAAGGCTATGGGTTCAGATCTCATCGTAGAAGTTATGGTCACAGCCCACATCATGGCAAACAAAATTCACCCAGTTGTTCCTGCTGGAGGTGACTTACAATTGCACAACAATCGAGAAAAACGCATGGAGACACAGGTGACCCAAGGCTGGCTAGCAAGCAGAGGGAGTTTATACCCTGTTGCAGAAAGGTGCATTGGGGAGCATGACCCTGAACTAGAGTCACCCAGAAGAGCTTGTCTCAATCCTCAGCCCTCACAAACTACGTAAGATGATAAATATCAATTATTTTAAGTAATTAAGCTGTGGAATAATTTGTTACAAAATAATAGTATGCATGATACCAGCCTAAAATAACCTTCTTTCCCTCCTGCTATCATCCCCCCCCCTCTTTTGTTCATATTCAGGCTCCTTTAGAAGACGGCATTGATAATACTGATCTTTACCCCATGAGACATGTATATGAGGCTTTCCATGGGGAATTCGGGCACGGATATTGTTAAGAGTTATCAGCTTTCAGATCCTCAGGCTTGTATTCAATCTTTCTCAGATTGAATGAGCCAGCATGTGAGGTTCCTTTTTCTCAACAGCCCTTCTCTTCTTTATTATAAAAGCAAAAATATACTTCCTATCCATTTCACAGTAAGATTTCATTACTTGGGAATTTAATAAAACCTCCAGGAGACTAGACCATCTGAAGTATCGGTATCGATGCTGACAGTGAGTGACATTAATGAATGGGTAAGAAAAACTTTTTTTCAAGGTAAGTGCTTTCCAGCTCTTTGCTTCCAACAAAATTGCAGGAGGATCTAATCAAGTTGTCAGCTGACACATTATTTAAAATAAATGTTCATGATAGGTCATTATGTAATTTTGGCATATATTTCAGAAAGAACTGTCAGAGTGGAATGGCATTGTTATAAGTTGCTTCCCTCCTCACCTACTTATGTAGGTGAGCATTGTCACTCTGTGTTTGCATGGACAAAATTAAAAAAAAAATACAAACTCTCATTCCTGTTGCATTCTAGAATGTGATATTTTCAAACTTGGGTATGAATTAAAAAGAAAGAAACAAACAAAAAGTCCCATTCACTTTATTAAAAGATGCATTTGGGGGCTGGAGAGGTAACCCAGTCAGTAAGTGCCTGCCACACAAGCACAGGGCCTGGAGTTCAGATCATGTGAAATCCGCCTCTGTAACCCAGCAGTGGGAGGTGGGCGAGGGACAGACAGGCAGGTCCCTGGAGCTCGTTGATCAGCTAGCCTAACCCGACTGATGAGCTCTGGGTTCAGTGAAGCAATCAATGAAAGAACCTGACATTAATGTCTGACCTTACACACACATGTGCATACGTGCACTTGCTCATATAAACACCTACATATACCTACCCCACACATGCATTTCCGTTTTATTTTTAAGTTATTTACCAAAATTGTAATGTCTACATGCTGTTCTGCTTACATTCAGCTAAAAATTATTTTGGTAACTTGATTCAGAAGAAAATAATTTTACTATTTAGAGACTTGTGATTATAAGAAAATAAGAAGAAAAGTAGGTCCCAAGTCCTACATGTATACTTTTTGAAGAAAATTCATAGCTGATTAACAAATGACATTTCTAACATAGAACATGCTTTTTCACGAGTCTTTGAAGGATTGGCGGCACCTCCAGGCTGCTGTGCACCATGCTTGCGAGTAAGTCCATTTCTCCATTCAGTGGTTTCTGAGGCCAGAATTGCTTCCAGCCATGGAAACTTAACCTCAGTCCCTCTCATCATGATCTGTCCTGGATCCGTTTGCTCATTGCAGTGGACGATTCTCAACAGAACAATTCAATCTTTTCTAAGAGACTGTGTGTTCTGCTTTCTCAGTCTTCAATGTCTGGGTGCTCAGGCTTATTAATTAGTAATCTGCCTCATAAGGTTGGCATTTAGATTCAATGATGTAAGTATGTGAATTGTTCTATGTATTATTACTTGACTCAAATTGAGCTGTCTATAAACATCCAGTGCTTTTGTTCCTGTTCTTGTTGTTATTAATATTATTTGGATCAGTATGTTCCTCCTGGACCAGTTTAGAAGTTTCCTACCTGGATAACTGTGGAGGGTTGGAACCAGGAATGGGGAGTGAAAGGTCATAGCAGTGTGGAGTCAGCTGCTGAAGGAACATTTGACCTGAGAAGAGAAACTGATGATGGAGAAGGCCGAGTATCCTCATATTCAGCTGGACATACTGCCTAATGAGACCACTGTTCCCCACACAAAAGCATCCCAGTGGCCCAGGCAGAGATGTATTCTACAGCTGAAGGACCTCTGATTTAATGTCTAGATTTTAATATGTCAAAACTGAATCTGGGGGAGGACAATGGGCGTCTTTATGATCAATTTAACAGGAGCTTGTCTGGACTCCTCTGCGTCTAATCCAGTGAGAGCTGAGATACAGCCTTAGGCTTCCCATGCATGAAGGATAAGAATAAGCTCTCTAAAAATAAAACTTGCACCTGCGTGTGTGTGTGTGTGTGTGTGTGTGTGTGTATGTGTGTGTGTGTGTATGTGTGTGTGTTTGTGTATGTGTATGTGGTGTGTGTGTGTATGTGTGTGTGTTTGTGTATGTGTATGTGGTGTGTGTGTGTGTGTGTGTGTGTGTGTGTGTGTGTGTGTGACAGAGAGAGAGAGAGAGAGAGCAGAATTCAGTATTATTCTGAGGTCCTGACAAACACTTTAACTCAAAGATGGAGCTCAAAGTACCGAATCGAGCCGTGGGGAAGATTCTAATAGGAAGACCAACAGTCCTTCAACACACGTGTGAATAAGAGCATAGCCTTCCACGCCAGCATCTGCTCTCTGAGTGTGACTGTCACCTGGTCTGCATGCTCAGCAGTGAAGCATGAATCCTGCAGCACAACCACAGAACTCCAACCCTCAACCCTCAACTCCAGCACTTCCTAAATTTCCTTCAGTTTCCTAATGGAATCAGAATGGGGGGAGGGAAACGCTGACTACATATTGTCATTTCATAAAGTATGAAATAAAGGCTTAGAGGAGTAAAGCAACAAGCCAGTCTATACTGCACAATTAGGAGACACTTCACCTCTCTGCTATACCAGGGTAGCTTTAAAAAGATAGATGCTGGAGCACTGGCTCAGCTGTTAGTCGTGCTTACTGCTCTTGCAGAGAGAGGATCCAAGTTTGATTCCTAGCACACACACTAGGCTGCTCAGAAATGCTGTACCTCCAGCTGGACCAGGCTCTGATGTCTTTGGCCTCTATGGGGACCTGTGATAATGTTTACATATTTTCACTTGCATGCTGGGGGGCGGGCAGGCTCACACACACACACTTGAAAAGAAATATTTTTTAAAAGTCTTATGTATAAAATGCGTCTTGGATGATTCAGTTGGGAAAGTCTCCTCCTCCCTCTCCTCCTCCCTCTCCTCCTCCCTCTCCTCCTCCTTTTTCTTCCTTCTAGGTACTCTGGGTACATCTGATAATCTACTGAAAATAATCTCCTAATTCCCTAGAGGTGAGACCATGATGGGAAGGAGATCATTCTGCATATAATTGTAAATGCTCATCTACATAGCTCCTAGCAATGCCTAAAGAAAGTTTGCCTTTCTGTATTAGCTGTATAGTTCGGCAAAGATGGTTCTGACCAGTTTCCCAGGCCTGGCACAGACCCCAAAGCTCTCCACAAGAGCAGGCTGCCTGCAGCTCACACAGAAAGCAGCAGCAAACACACTGATGTTCAGATCAAAACATGGAAATAGAATTTTTAGAACACATTGGCAGATTCAAAGTTAAAAGTACTTATCAACACAAAATACCATAGCTAGATGACAGCTGTGTCTAGAACTACAAAATCTTCTAGCAAATGGGCCCCGTACTTAAAACACCTGAAAGACACAAGTCAGGAACTGTCAACCTCTCCCAAGTTTCAGGAGACTTTTCATGTCTGGTATTACCTTCAGGCAATATGAATTCTTGCAAGTTCGAGAAGGCATGGAAAACATTGCCCCTGTCCCTGAAAACTACATCAGCTTACATTTGTAGTGTTCCATGACATCCCTTCCCAGCAAAAGAAAAGATGGCCTATTAACATAGTGACTATGCTATTACAGTGAGATAATACAGTTTGTATTACAAATTGTAGTTATCCCCAAACTTGCCTGCTCATTTAAAGGCCCACAAATGCATCTTTTAACTCCAAGGTCCTAGGTTTCTGCTGGAAAATTGGATTTCCGTTCGACCATCTCCCCTTCCTGGGTGACCTCTGCATGCTCTGCAGGCTGGCCTTGCCTCATCTACTCTGGGAAGTGGGGTGCCAAAGCTGGATGGTAACATGAGCTAGCTCCCACCACAAATAGAAACAGGCCTGCTATGAGTGACACTCCAAATATAGACCTGCCACAGCAGACTTGCCACTTCTTACCACTCAAATGTCACCGGGAGAGGTCACATGCTGTGCTCTGAAGTATTTCATTTACTGTGGGGGTGGAGACCCAGGACTCAGATGGCTGGCCACAAGTCCAGGGTTAGAGCTGCTATGGCCAGGCCAGCATGGGAATGCCTGACAGCCTTGGGGCTGTGTGCTTCTGCTTGGATTGTCTCAAAGTGTTTTGTGCAAACAGCTCTGGAGACAATCAAAGGTAACTTGCTTCCTCTCCCATCATCCTTTGCAGTGTGGGGACTGTTCCCCTCTCTCTGAAAGATACAGTGGTTCCTGTTCCTTCTCAGGTGACACAGTTTTAGGTCTCTTCAAACCCAGCACCTGAGTGATTAGTTCTATAGATTTATTCAAAGGCCAAACCTAGTCTGTAGAGCATCAACTCCTTGCTTCTGTAACTTTAGTAGGATGCCTGGAGAGGGAAGGAGGGACAGAGAGAGACAGAGACAGAGAGACAGAGAGAGCAACGTGAGCCTCTCCCCACACTCGGAGCTGAGAGCAGAGGGCTCACTGTAATAGTA